TTTTTTTTTTTTCGCCAAAATGACTCCTTATTGTCAATTTGGCTAGAGGCAAATTATTCAAGCAAAAGCATTGGCAAAGATAAATTTAATGGAAGAATCTATTCTTGAAATCAATAACGTTTACATGTAAATTCAGTTAATTAAGGCCCATGAATATTTCACTCATCTCGATTTTATTGACATAGTGACATACTATAAAGCATTCTTTTCTTAAAAGGAAAATTTTTATTTCGCCTACACGTTTTGTCCAGGGGAACTTCATGTGCTAAATGCTCTTCCGGGAGAAGTTAAACCGTGGTTGGAATACGATATTCTCGGTGTTCCCTCCACCCACTTAACGTAGTAGTTTGAACTTTATTTTTAGGCTTTGCCTTTTTTTTGGTACCAGAACAAAATTGCATCTATACTACCTAATATAAAATATATTGCATTAATACCTAACTCTAGCAAAATAATTAGTATTAGCCATGAAAAAAAAGGTTATATCCTCTTAATTTGCGTAAATGATGAGATTACATTTGCCATGTTTTTGGCTACCAAAAATAATAACTGCTTTTCCTCTTAAATAGGGTAATTAATTCCCATCTGTTAAAAAAAATAAATAGTATATCAGTATAACAAACTCTCGATAAATTTGGTAGGCACAAAGAATTCAAATTTGAAGTTCAAACGCCAGTTGAAATTTACTGGCCGCTGAAGATTTTCAGTATATGTTGCGTTTGTAATTAGTATATTTCTAGTATATTTATCTAAACACAATTCTGATATTCGAGTTTTATTATGAAAAAAAAAAAGTTCCAGAATATATAAAGACATACTAAGCTTATATACATCACGTATATGTTACGTTTTTTATTTACATAACTTTTACCGACTCAAATGCCCTATTCGCATGCAGCTCTTGAACAACAATCAATTTAGATTTTTAGTATATGTTGTATTTTTATGTAAATAATTTTTACCAATTTTTTAGCAACACAGGACAGAACTACAAATAAAAATGGAACGAAAAACATTAATAAAAATATCGACAAACAACATAGACAATGATCAACAAAAAATAAAATAAAACAGAGCAAATTTCTCATTTGCCATCTCATATCAATTTCTTCATAAAAATAATAAAAAAAAAATCTGCAAAAATACCTAACATAAACTGTAAATATACATCAAATGAACATTGAAACAGATCTGATCGAAACTATTTGCATGTCGACGACTCGAAAACTCCACTACCAACAGCGGCCGACCAAGATTTTGACCGGTATATTTTACGTTCATCATCGGCCATGATACCTTGGATGTACATATACATATAATGATCATAAACTAATATGTATCGTGAAACTATACTTCGTTACCATCATCACCCTTCTCGGCAAACTATAAATAATTTCGGCGACTCCAATCCATAGTAAGCGGATAATGTACTGACTAATCTACACATAGTCCAAAAACTTAAAAAAAAACGAAGCAAAATCGATTTCCCTGCAACTAGCCAACCAACTCCAAAAACCATGGCGACGCCGACACCCTCAACGAGGATGCCGGCAGAAATTGATGACATCATCGTCTGGAAGATATTTCTCGTCTCCCCCATCGACTCCGTGGAGAATGATTCTCGAATCGCCTACCTGGAGATGACGTGGCTGGCTCAGGAGGACGCTGGTTGGATTCCGGTCGGTGCTGGAGTTAGAGTGGGAGTCAATGATGGAGAAGAGCTTCCTCACGGTGGATAGACGATGTCGTCCTCAGAAAAGCTCGAGCATGGGCCGAGGGGACGACCAGCCTGATGAGCCCAGGTCCGTGGTGTGGCCTGAGCTCGGGGTGGTCGAGGTGTGGTGGGGGTTGTCTCGTTTTCCTTCGGTTGAGGGTGGGGTCGGTCGCCTGGGCGTGGGGTCGAGCTCTAGGGATTGGTTCTAGTTAAACGAGAGTTGCAATTTCTAGTTCTGAGGCTTGGGCCGAGATCCGGTTGTCGTGGTTGCTTGGCGTATTTTTCCAGCTGTGGGAAGGGTTTAGTTTATTTTATTTATGTTGTGTTTGTTGTGTTTGTCGTGTTTGGTGTGTTTTGGTTTTGTGTTGTTGGTGATTCTCGTTTTTTCGTGTTTTTGTGTTTGTACTTTTCTCCTGTAAGGTAGTGTATATTACCCCGTAGGGAAGTTTTTATTCTTCCACTTATGGAGCTTCTTAGTTCAGCTTTGTGTCTCATTTGTGGGTGAGTTGTGTTATAGGTTAGTTCTAGACGATTCTCGGATCTGTCCTCTAGCTAGATTCGGCTCAACAGCTGTCGGTATTTAGCTGTCGGGTTGTTTTTCTAGTTGTATTTATGTGTTTTTTGCAATAAAATTTATTTTGTT